TCGTAGGGAATGGGCATCCGACTGCGAGGAGGACAGAGCTTCCGCCGGCCTTTCATTGCTTGTTGGGATCTTGGAAGGGCCGCAAGACCCTTTGTCCCAGGCACATGGAAAATCACGGCAGCCGTCACTAGTTTGCGCGGCTCAGGTCTTCCCCCTCGAGGTAAAGCCCCTCGAGGTAATTGCTGAGGCGCCGGTCCAGCTGAGTCCAAGTCATGGTCTGTCTCACCTGGCCTGCACTCCACTTCACGAAGCCTCGCCACATTTCCTGATATCTTTTCAAGGTGAGGTGCCCCACTGAGGAACTGCGGAGCACTCCCATCCCCGGCTCTGGCGTCTTCTGCTGGCGCCTCTTGGCTCTCTGCTTTCTTTTCTCTGCTGCGGGCATGTTGCTGAGTTCTATGTCCCAAGTGAGGGGGGCATGACTCGGTTTGGCTTGGTTCATACCCCCAATCCCCACTGGATTTGCGTCGAACAGCTTGGCCCTCTTGGCAGGTCCGTGCTGCAGGTTGGGTGCTTTGCGCTTTCGTTCCGAAGGTTTGTCCCATGTCACTGTAATGCCCAGCTGTCTGTGTATCATCCCAAAATCTGTGAACCGGCCTAGTGGGGCAAAACTTCCCCGGCTTGGCCCGTCAGCAGGGTTCCACTCACTGGGCACCCATCGGCAGCGGAACAAAGTCCCTGATCCCAAACACAAAGCAGCCGTCTGCTGAACGACCCGTCGGAGCCTAAAACTCTGTGCACGACCCTTGTCAAAAGAAACAGCAGCTGTCATACTATCCGTGAGAACAATGAACTTCTTTCCAAAATTCTTTTGATTCCTCAAGATATGTCTAACAGCATACTGGGTGGCCCGGGCCTCGTATACAGGCATCGTCTCCTCTCTCTGCCAGCGCTTTCGTCCAACAACCTGCCACGGTCGGTCCACAGCGGTGAAAGGCACCCCTTTGAACTTGAGGGCAGGGTTTGGTACTGCACGGTGAACACCTTCAAGCTCCCCTTCAACTTGTACAAAAGGGCGAGGGTTGTTGCATCCATCTTCCTTGAACCTCCATCTCTCAACAAAACGACCGAGTTGCTGCGAAAACTTTGGTTCAACTGCGCTGCTAACAACCCCAAGTCCCCAATCCGAAGCGTCGACGGCATAGATGGTGTCCCCCCAAACAAGCTTCATATTGACCCGTATAAGAGGTGCCAAACCATCCCACTGCCAAAGCTCTTTGCGAACACTTTTCCACAGATTCGTACTGTGTGTATAGTTGCGCTTGATGAAGGTGTAACAGTCCCCAAGAACTGAAAGGGACTCTCGCCGACAGAGTGAGACGAAGGTCATGTGCCCGATCAAGCGTTCCAGTTGCTGGCCACTCGCACGGCCCCGTCGCAGCAGCTCTCGTATGCCCAGCCTGCAACGCCACAAACGGCTCAGCGCTGGACCCAAGAAACCACCGTCCTCGATCTCCCAACCAAGAACCTTGCTGGACCCATCTGCCATTTCTATTTCATGTACTGTCAGGCCGGCTGCCCGCAATACTTTGACTGCTTTCCAAAACCTTGCTTCCAACCTCCTCTTTGTCGTTGCCAAAAATGTGTAAATTGTCGACATACTGGACATGGAAAAAGGTCCCCTGACGGGAAGGCTGACCGTCTCTCAGCCTCTCTGAAGGAAGCAGCCCGGACCTCTCGCAGATTCGCTCACTTATCCTCTGGCACCACCACATAGCGTGAGACTGCAATGCGAGGGTAAACCCATGAGGCGGGTTGTACCTCTGAGCCAGCAATTCCAGACACCCCCAGCTCTCCAGCTTGCACTTTGCGAAGCCCAAAAAACTTTTGAAGTGCACTTGGCATGGCCATCGTGTAAAAAGCATTCTGAAGGTCAGCGCTGGCAATGTACAACTGGCCCTGCGGCCTCAACTCCATGCGACTCATGCTCTCACCAGTGGCCAGCTTGATGTCCTTGGGTGTTGTGAAATGGCAGTTACTCCGTCTACAGTCCAGGATCATCCGCAGCTTGCCACCTTTCTTCTTCACAAAGAAAAGGCCAACTGTCTCCACTGCCGGCTCCAATCTTTGAATTGCGGGTCTTCATAGCATCTGTTCAGGCCGCATTGGCCTAAACGCTCGCGAGCTTCTGCTATGTCCAGCGTCTGGTGAATGGTGAAATCCTCCACCTCTTGTTGCCCGCCCTCACCCCACAAGCTCTCCAAAGGCACGGGATTAATACCCTCAGATGGTAGTGAGACAAGGTCAGGATTGAAGGATCCAAGGGGGCACGAAGTCGGCAAGTCATCGTACCCCTCAGCAACCCGAAGCTCCTCAAGGGCCTCTGGGCCAGAAAGCAGAGGTGGAGCCCCTACTCTCTTGCGTGCATCTTCAACAAATTCAAAAAAAATGAGCCTGGCCGGAAATGATGGCCCCATTGTTCGACCCACCATACCTCTTGTGAGGTCCCCCAGGCTTACCATACATAGTGTTGAGGGCATCCACTGTGTGGTCAACCTCTTGCTCAAAATGCCTCCTCCGGCCAATCCTCTGCTGAGATTTTCGCGAGAAAAGTCCCAAGGGTGGTCTTGAATTCAAAACACTGCAGTGGAAAAATGTCTCTATCCACTCCTCTAGCTTGCACGGCCTCTGAAGGTGTTGCAGCAACCACAAGGCCTGACGGCTGCCACACCTGATACTTCAAGGGTGCTCTGACTTGTCGCCCCCTTTCTTGGCCCCTTTGCGAGCTGCCTCTCGCTCTTCCCGAGCCTTGCACAGGTTCTTTGCCAGGTTTGCCTCCTTCTCGGTCTCGGTCTTGACGTGGTCCAACAGCTGGGGACAAATCATCAATGTACTGTATTGTCGTGTGATGCCCCCAAACGTGGTCTGCTCTTCTAGACTCAGCCGCCCTCCTACGGCCTTTGCCTCCAAATCCTTTGCCTTTTCACTGTAGGAGTATTCGATGGTTTGGAGACGCGTGAATTGTATCATATTGTATCTCAATGCTCAACAAATTGTAGGAGTCGAGCTGGTCCACGAGAAGGGCCTGGCGAAGGGCCATGCTGACCTGGAAATGTTCCTGGATTCCCCAGCTGCTAGCATCAGCCCTTGTGACTTGTCGTAGTCTTTCATGGTGGCCTTCGAAACCCAGGTTCTCGATGGCCAGGTAGTTGACGCACCACTTGCTAGCGCGGGGACCCGCCAACTCCCACCTCACCTTTGTCTTAAAGCCCATGGATGCAACCTCCTTCAAGGTCCTCTCTGGTTGTCCAATGGGGTTCAACTCAACTGGAAGCACCCTTGGATCTGACTTGGCCGGCTTCTGCAAAAAACTAAAATAGTCTTGTCCATCAACACACTGAACAAAAATGCCGATGCCATCCGCCCCAACATGAACAATCTTGCTGTCCTTGGCCAGGGGGTTGGGTACACCAGTGACTTCTTGTCCAAATTGGTGGGATCCTATCGTCTCTGCAGCCAGCACTTCCAGGGTTCCAGCCTCATAGCCGTCAACGGGGTCAATCTTGGTGCTCACAGGGGCCCCACCAACAACTGCCGGCGCAACAGCTGCACCGGCGGCTGCCAAGGCACCGCCTCCACCGCCCATAGCCCGTCTCTCTTCATCGGCTACTCGTCGGCCCTCCTCCCTGAGATTGTGCAGGTCGTTTGCAGTCCAAGCCGGAAGGGGATAGACCTCGGCCGCGTTCACATCTCCAGGCAGAATACCTGCAGCAGGTTTCACACGGAGGGTTCGTACGTCGGGGTTTAACAGGCCCAACTCCTCAGCATGGCATAGACATCACGGTCTGGTGTCGCTATGATGTAGATCTCACCGGCCACATGACTTAGCACGAGGCGTTCGTGCCAAAGCCGGGGTCCCTGCCAGCTGCCTCTGTGCCAAATCACGCCTTTGCAACGGAGAAGCACCTCCTTCTGTCAATGCTTTTGGGCCCTGCCGCCCCCACACACACACCAACCAACAACAATGAGACCAGCCAGTAAAGTCAACAGCAATGCAAACAACTGACTCAAACTCAACTGTCCCTGTTCAAAACCTCCCACCAGCACCTTGGCTTCTGCCTCCGGCTTTCGCCGCGAAGTCCAAGGTTGTCCACCTGAAGCGGGAGGCTCGTCCTCAGGGTCACGGGATCGCTCGGCCAAAGTGTCCAATGCCCTCACCTGCAACCGCACCAGAGAGATGTCTTCCTGCAGCCTCTGGGTGTAGTAAAGGTCAACACCAACCAATCCCACTAGGACTACCTGACAAACCACGGCCAGTCGATAGCCTAGGGGATAGCCCATGGACCACGACCGCGCGCCGCCCGGGTTTTTGTCTTGAGCGGCGAGGGTGGCGGCCATAAACACTTCAAGAAAACCCTTCTGCAAATCTGTGTCTCACCTATATATATATATATATCCATGCAAGTGCAAAGACTGACTTCAGGGGCGCAAGTGCAGCGTTTGTGTGAGGTCTGGGATTGGCGTTCTCAGGGTATCTTAGAGTGGTCTTTTGGAGGTGTTGAGTGTCGCTCTTGAAATGCTTGCCTGGAAGCTGGATCTCTTCCGTGACAGGTCTCAGGTTAAAAATGCGGCGGGATCCCCGTGAAGCAACAAGGGGTCGAGATCATTCCACACTTGTGGTGTGTACCAATTTCGCTAGACGTGTCAAGGTATGGCGTACTCACTTCGTGGCAGGCGCAATACTGTGTGGTGCTGGGATGCAGTTCGGATTGTGAAACTGCGTGATGTGTTCGCTCTGATGAGACTTCACCCCGCTTCACTTTTGGAGGGCGGCTTGCACGAAATGCTCGTTTTGAAGGCTTGACGGGTCACTTTGGAGGACGTCTCATAAAACATGCTCATGTTGAAAACAGTATCCTCCAAAGGTGTCCGCGCAAAGAGTGTGTCCAGCAAGAATCTCCTACAGTCACCAAGGGTGTCCGCAACAAGAGTGTCGCACCTCAAGTCCCAGGTGTGGTGCTTCGTGGGCTTTCGGTCATTTTCGGACTCAGTCACCGCTACTATTTGTGTTCGGTATGGTTTCGCGGCAGACTCGCCCATGTTCGATGTGCCGCTCTTGGCACCCCGTACGGACCGATCGGTCCCGATCTCCCGATCTCCTCCTGATCCAAGTCTGTCGGACCGGTAAAGAGGAACGGGATCAACGAAGCCACAATGCGACCTAGGCTCTGTGAGCCGAATTCTGTATCGGATTTTTGGGAAGATTGGGAGGCCAATCTTTGTTGTGTGTTTTCCATGCACGAGCGTGCGGGTTGGGGACTGTTTGGGACAGGAAACATCTAACTTTGAAAGGTTGAACCAAAAACCTGCTAGTCCGTGTGATTCCGAAAGGGTGTGTACAATTAGGTGGTGCTCTCTTTTTTCGTCTCACAGTCTCACAGAGAGTAAGACGGGAATCTATGCGTCTGAGGTTTGGAGACTCACCTTCATGTCCACTTTCTAAGATCCTCTTTCAGGTAGCGCATGTGTAGCGCATGTGCGCACCAGCCTTCGTTTTGAAGAGGTCAAGACTTGCACGCACAAAAACTCTAGCTAATTCGCCGACCGTGGTCTACGATGGAGCTTGGGTTGTCAGGACATCAATATCACACGGAAGCTATCCGAAGCAGGTATTGCTTGCCGTTCCAATGGATGGAGACACAACCAAGCCATACAAACCTGCACAAAAACCCTTTGACTCTTATTCGTTGCTTCGCAGAACCATGCCTGCCCGAACACAGTGAACTAGCATGAAATAGCCAAATGGATCCAAATGGTGCGATCGTAGGACCGGATGTTTTCTCGGTTGACCTAGCGACCAACGACCTAGTGACCAAACCGGCCTGGCGTTCTCCGACGGTCCCGAAGCCCACACCGACTGGCCAGGCTGCAGTTCAAGGAGTTGCCGATCAAGGAACATCGGTCCTCACAGCCGACTGGCTGAGAACCTGGTTCTGGTGGCGGCCAACGTAGAAGAGTCGTCATGGTCTTAGTATGACATACTCAGAACCCACGTCAACTCAGGTCACCACTCATTTTCCTCATGTTACTCCCACCCTATAGGTGCTTCACCACCGCGATCGCCGAACACAGAAAACACCGGACAGGGGGCCGATCGGACCGCAGCGGTTGGCAGTCCTTGAAGCTCAACGCGGCTGGAAACACGTAGCTCTCCTAGGCTCGAAGGAGCGTACCGACCCGCAAGGGGCGACCAAAGGACCGTCCTGCTGTGGGTGCATTGCTAGGGGCGGGACACAATGAACACCACCCCAAAGAAGAACAACAATCTTGCAATCAATCACTGGAAAACGCTTTTCATCTGTGTTTAGGGTAGGCAAATCCTTCTGAGAGTTCTGAATAAATTGTCAGTATATCGTCAGTGAGTTAGCGTTGAACTATATATCTATTCCCTACACAGGGTGTCTGAAGAGAATCCAGGTCGCTGGAAAGCCCAGCAATCTCAATTGCTCCACTGGCGATAGATATCCTCGGCTCATTTGCCAGTGCGCCCTTAGGACCCTTCCTGCACGACCAACATTGAAGGCAGTCGGTCCAAAAAGCAATGACACCCAGTCGACAGGTTTGCTCATTCACGAAAAGGACAAGAGAAAATCAAGACTCAAGAGTCAAGACTTTATCCACTTGATCTTTGCACCTCTTGCGCAACGGCTCCATTGTCCATCCTATTCCACCAGGCTGCGCACTCTGAGTCCATCCTCCCAGACATGGTCGGTGGCGCTGCCGGCACCGTCGCCCTGTGCAGAGAGTTTGGGACGCTGTTGAAGGCCACACTCCTCCTGCGACCAGCGGGCAGACACGCGGACACCGGCAGGCGAGGACACCGAGGCAGGCCAAAAAGAATCTCGGGGACTCAGTGGGGCGGGTGCCCCAGGATGTCCAGAATTTCTAGGGAGATGTCAGGGATGTCTGGATCGATTTGATCTGCCTCGCAGGATTTGGTGGAATGTGAGAGCTGAAGATTTGCCTTGCCATTTCTTATCAGGCTGTCATGCGAGCGACAATGTATGGATCGATTGGGATGATTTGGGGGTCAGGTTGGATGATCAAAGCTTGATGGCCAATCTTGACTTTACCAGCTATTATAGAGTCTACAAATGACAGGCTGTTGATCATAAGCTGCTCATGTGCCAAGTGTACTGTAGATCCACCTACTACCTGATGCAAGCTTCCAGTGTGTAGATCCACCTACGACCTGATGGGAGCTTCCAATAGTTGGAAGATGCAGGTTGGCGAAAAACACCAGACCTGCAGCTCTGAATCAAACCAAAACACATCCATTGGTGATTTGTCTGTTGAAGCTGAGGAGTCAGTCCTCCTCATTCTGCAGCACAAGTGGGGAATGACCTTGGTATCTTGATATGTCTTGTACCTTGAAATCCTTCGGCACCTCATACATTCACCGTCTGGGGGCGCCACAAAAGAATGGTGACATTTGTGACATTTCAAACAAATCTGGATTGAAAGGTGGAAAGGTGCGAAAGCATCTTTTGGTATACCCAATTTTGCCATGCAAAACTGACCAGCTAAAGCTTTCTTGCGTTTCTTGGGTCCACTCCGGCATTGACAAACATCTTCTGTGCCCAAATCAAAGGCCGGCTTCCACTGCTGTCAAAGGTGCCAAAGGGGAGCCGCCCATTGGCTTTGGTCAAACAGGCGCTGGTACGGTCCGAGCGCAGGTGGATGTCATAGCGCTGCTCCTTTGCGAACGACATCTCAAGTGGGTGGACACGCTAACCTGGAATTCATGATGCTTGGTCTTTAGATATCCGTGTAGTGGGGTAGTCGTAGTGCAGCAAAAGAAACCAACTTATTGTATAAAATACTATTTCCAAGTGCTTCGCACAAACCAGAATAACCATGTAAAGAAACATATCTGCTCATTGTGGTTTAACGGAGTTAATGATGTCTTTTTCATTGGTGGAACGGTGAGCATGGCCAGTTGCATTGCATCGGTGTCTCAACACGTTGGTCTCACGTTGGAGAACCGTTTTCACCCCCAATCAGCACCGGCGAAAAGAACCCCCAGTATCTGATTGGGGGTTCAATACTCGATGTTTGGTCATGGATTAGACGCATCACAACAAAACTTATAACTCGTGTTTGATCATGTTTGATCCAAAGATCTTGGGACCACTCAAGACCTGCTTCCGGCCTTCAGCCAGCCATTGAGGAAAACAATTCACGATTCTTGTTTGATGTTTGAACTTACGTCTGCTCTATTTTCCCCATCCCAGCAGGCCAGAGGGTGCAACTCTCTCGGTCATTCTTGAAGTCTCTGGTCCCTCCTTCTGCTGGCGTGTTCGCATCACCTCTTGTGGCACTTCGATGGAGCATCCCATCACTTCTTCCTCCATGGCCACGCTGGCCGCATCCTGCGGGACTCAAAATACCACCCCTACCAGGCCTGCCAATTCGCTTTTGTTATCGTTTGACTTAGTCATCAATCAAGAGTACTTGTGTCAATAGTCCAAGGCCTTCACAAGCAGTGCAGTTTTGGGTGGGAGAGAAACATCTCCAATTCCACCAAAACCTCCAAACGACCTCAACCTGCAACCACGGACTGAGGTTCCAAAAGCTTAATGAATGGCTTAATGCCTTCGGACGCTTGAGGATCAGCATATGAGGGCACAGGGCTCCTGAAGGAAGTCTCCCAAGACTGTTACCTCTGTCAGGGGCCCAGCACGTCCTTGCAGGAGGGCTTCGGCCTGAAGACGGGGAGTGCTATGCACTTCCCAAAGCAGTAGTGGGACATGGTAGGATGCAGGCAGGCAGAGGAACAACATGCCTAATGTGGCTGTTGGGAACGAAATGGCGGGATAATATTTGTGCCTTGCATCATGATTCATGATGAATGTTTGTTTTTGCAAGGTGCATGGGTGTAGGATTTCGAACATGAAGCATGAACAAAAGCTACGGGAGAGCACATTCCATGCTGCATTCGACCCAATCTACGCACGCATCAGATCTCCCATAAACAGCTCTTTGAGATGTGAAGAAGTGACCTGCCTGTTGCAGGTCACTGTGGAACAGCCTTGGTCTAGACCAGGAAGCAAGGGTTCTTTTTCGACAGGTGAGTGACCGGAAGCTTCATGGACGTGATTTCGCAGCTTCGAAACGCCGATTCTCGCGGCGGCCGGTCCAGCCGTAACAGCCGGCAGGTGCGTGATGCGTCAACCAGATGCGCCTCCAAGGCAGTGGCCACTGGCCGCCAAAAGCATCCTCCGTGCGATCCGCACGGCGCTGGACCATTTGACACACTTTCAACAACATCATACCATGGAAGCATTGATAATAAGACCTAATTACAACCATTTCTCTAGAGGTTCCTTGTTGACATGTGCTTGCGAGTTCTCTGAGATGCAGCACAGATCCAACCAAAATTATATCCTGTCCCTTCGGCAATCAAGGTCCTTCAGTCCCAGCGGACAGATTTTGACTTCACCCAACAAGAAGCTACTAGGGGCTCCTGGCATCGCTACTAGGAGCAAGGACGCTACTAGGGGCTCCTCTCCTTACTACTAGTAACAAGAAGCTACTAGGGGCTCCAGGAAGACAAGCTCAGACCCTCGAATTTCCCCGCGTCCACACCTCCGTCTTGCAAACTCACTTGCAAGCGCCCTAGGCCCGGAGCCCCTTCGCTGGCACGAAAGAGGCCATAGTAGCGTGGGCGACGGTTGGGAAGTCCTGATGGATCGGCTGCAGATGGGTGGATCCTCACACGAGGATCTGGGTCAACATCCCAAACACTTTTTTGTTGATATACATCAGATTCACAGACAATAACACAAGGAGGCACCATGGGTCTGGCAAAACATTTGACATATACGTCTATAAACCTATATTTCATCAGCTTGCTTCGTTCCTACCGTGGTTGAATCGAGGATACGGGTCTGCGGGTCAACACTCTGTGGACTTCAATTCCGGAAAGTGCATGAATGACAAAAGATGATACCATTTTAAGACCATAAACACCGCAGCTCGGCTAATCAACGGTGCCGCCTAGTCTGAGGAATCATACATACTACTTATATACAAGTTCTCTGTGGCCTACGCTCGCTGCCTATCTCTAAGAACACGCAACGGCCCGATATGTGTTTTCCACATCAAGCCAAAGGCATCAAACCATGGAGCTGCAACAATTGAGACCCTCACATGCAATTGAGCTCTATGAGCAAAGGACGCTACTAGGGGCTCCTGGCCTTACTACAAGGAGCAAGGACGCTACTAGGACCCTCACATGCAATTGAGCTCTATGAGCTTTGAGCTCCTGTTGTTCGCAGTTTTGCACCCCCCTCTCTAGTTGGAACACACGTCTTTTCTGAGCAGCATATCATTGGCTTTGCTTAAGGAACCGAGAACAAAAATCAACATAGGGACTAACGCAAAGGGGATTTACGCATAGGCAAAACAAGAATCACCCTAAGCCAAATACCATATAATATGTAATATATAGCTATCCAAGGCTATCCAGCTTTAGAGATCTCCTCCCCCCGTCCCCCACCTCCAAAAAATAAATGCCGTGAAACATGCCGCCGTGAATCCAAACTCTTCCGGATCCAACGCAAACTCCGCCAGCTCCCAATGCTCCAACTGCGCCAAGGTGTCCAGGAGCCGCTGGCGGCACTCGGAGCGTTCCTTACGTCCCGGACGGACCGGACCATGAGGACCGTCTCCCGTTTCCCCCCCGAAATCGGGAAGATGAACGGACCAAGCACTACGCAAGACCCACCAGAACCACTAATATATGAGCATTGGTCAAACAATTGTTCCAGGCTGGGTCCTTGCGCTCTGGGCGATTTAGCGTGTGTCCTATCAACTTTGCAGGGTTTGGATGTTCCGGCTAGGCTTTGGCTCACCAAGACGACCCAAAAAGCTACCTGCGATTTCGAGAACCGAATCTTTACAACTCCCTGCAGTGTTGTTCTTTGCCACTGCAACGCTCGATCAGTCCAGGGAAGTTTCAAGTCCCATCCCCGTGGCAATTCTGTTCTTCGACCCTTCCAGTGCTATTTCATGCTCGCACGGCTCGCACTCGGCCACACCTCTCCACCATAGCGAAGAATTCAATTAAGGTCACACAATAACGTGGTTTCCTGCGGTAAGCCTGTCTCCAATATACTTGGAATTCGGGCATGTCACAAACGTAGGTTACTAGAGAGTTATAGTTGGTTGTCAGTCCCTCATCGTTCTACATAATTTTGAGCAAGTCCACAAAATCAACGGGACCTTCAAAAGAAGCTGTGAAACACCTTCAAAATAGCTTTGAGAGTACCTCAGCTTCCATCTTTTAACATGGACAAACGTCTGAGAAGCACATGATAAGCACCTGCTCCGGTTGCAAACCAAGCGACAAAGCCAACAACATTCTCCAAAAGAATGGCCCGTGGAGGATTCTCCATCCTCGGCGCGAGAACAAACATCGACAAACAAGGTTTTTGGTCCCCAGTGACTCAGTGACCATGGAGTTTCCTGACTGAAGCACTGCACAATTTTATATGTAGTTATTGTTTTTTTTCTCAACAAATCGCGTTCCTGTCTCGTTACTCGTTCCCCTTCTCTGGTAGGGTGAAACAGCAGAAGCCTTCCCTGCATCAACTGTGAATTCCTCAAATCGAGCGAGGTAACCTCCTCCTCCAAGCAAACAGGTCGCCCCTGCAGCGACACATCGCCGAAATAGGAGCCATGTGGACTCGCCCCTTCAAGAATGGGGAGTGACGTAATCCTTTAGGAGGACATCTTGGTGTCGAAGATTGGTGCGGAAGGGTTGTCCCCCACCCTCAAATCGCGGAAGCGGAGATCGATAAAATGACCACTGGCTGTTCTCCGCAGAAATGCAAACGCACATCAGACATGATGAAAAAGCTAAGCTTGGCATGTTTTGGTGCGGGATTCTCAGCACCACAAGGTCCCGCATGGGGTCCTCTGAAAGGGCCCTGTGAAAGGGTCTTGAACGGTCCAGCATGGGATGCACATCCCAAATCTCTCCCAGAAGAAACGCGTCGACCACCTGGTCCCTGGAATACTTCAAACAAACAAAATGTTAGAGATCTTGTTAGATCTTGTTATTGTTGGGTCAGCTACGGATCGAATTAATTACTGTACCAATATGTAACAATAAGTCCAATTCTTGTGGCAGGTGTGGGGCGGTCAATACACACCACCTTTCAAGTTTCTTCAAAAACAATCAAAGGCATTGAAAGGCTTCGCAGTGTGAACCAATGCATCGCTGCATGGCACATATCTACAGCGTCCCAGATGAGACCCGGTGTGGGATTCTAGGTGGAACAAAAAGGGTGGGTGCAACTTGGAACGTCCGAAGCCTTCGTTGACGGTCAGGCTTGGTCAGGCTTGGTCTGAGCTTCAAAGGCAGGAGGCTGATCAGATGGAGCAGCCCTCGCGACCTGGGACGGTGGGTGGACTGAAAGTCATGGCCTCCAGTAGCGATGGGCTAGGGATGACTCGTTTCTGACTCTGCATCCTATAGGTCCTATAGGGCATCATCCGGTGTGTGCCGAGTTTGCCAAACATGCACAAGAACATACAAGAACTGCAGATGGGTTACAAAGATTGACACCCTGCAAATGTCTTCTGCTGCACCCTTGGAGTTCTTTCTTTTTTAAACTAGTTCTGGGTAAGACAATGTCAAAATAGAACGCATCTTGATATCAAAACACAAGAACAGCTCAATCAATTGACGTGTCGCCACCAGTTATGTACCCTATGCTTCAGAACACAATGTTTTGAGCTCTTCTTCGACGTTTCTGGCCTTCTCCCATCTTTCTCCAGGGACATTCCAATACTTCCCATATCAGGTACGACAAGGTCGCTCGGCCTCCGGTGGCCCAACTAAGAGCTGGACCGGTCATCCTCATGATCTTTCCTGAACGGAACAAATAATATTGTTGTCTTGCGGCGCTCTCTTTTCGGCGCCCTTCGCTTCAAGGCCTAAGGGATTTAAACCCAAGCTGCACCAGTCTCCAAGTGATTCGTCGAACTTGGGGCACTTGAATCTACAGGAAGCAAAAACGGACTTGCAATGAGAGAGGACAATGCGGGAAAATATCATAAGCCAGCTGAGAAGGCAAATATTTGAAAGACCAGTCAACTGATATGAAATGAAGACCCCACTGAACCCAAAGTGTGGCCTCTTCCCAGCCCTGGTGAAGGGTTGACAAGGTGGGCTCATCAGCCAAAGATCAGCTGCCAAGGCCTTGGGCAGCTGAATCCAGGACTTGGGCAGCTGAATCCAGGAATATGTACAAGAAACCTCGCTTGACCTGGCATGTCTTGAGTCTTGAGCCCCTCACAACTCTCTAGAAACTCGCATATGTTTTTCCATTCGTTCCTGTTCAAAGTATATTACTTTCTTCCTTTCAGCTGCCTCAGTGAGGAAACTGCTGCTGAGTTACATCCACCTCTTGCAGCTTCAAGCATTCCTCAAGCGCTCCGAACCAAATCGCGAGTTGCTTTTCCCGCAAAAGGATCCGACGAAGCAGCCCAAGTAGAAAAGACTACGTAGTAACTTCATAGTGAATTTCCCTTGACCCATTAGGGTCCCAACAAATTTTGGTCCCAACACTGTGCATGCTGCAGAAGATCAGGGGATGGCGAAGTTCCCGGACCATTCTTTAGGTGATCTTGAAGGAACTGAAGCAGGTCCAAGGAGAGATCTGTGCACTCTGTATGGGTCCATGATATCTTCTACCAGAGGGGTCTTCTGCGTCCCTAAAACATTGAACTCTTGGGGCACCTTTTCTGCAGGACACACCGAGTGCGTCTTTGTAACCTCGAGATCGCCAAGAATCAATGGTCTTCTTCTTCCACTCGGCGTGGCCAAAATTGTGGCAGTAGGCCTCACAAATGCATGTCGGAGAGAACGGCCTTGATCTCGTGAAACAGCACTCGGTACAGGCAAGTCTTGATTTTGTGCATAGTCTTTGACATAGGCAAACTCTGTCTCATATTTTTTCCCGTTTCTTCTGCTAGCCAGACTCCCAGACTGTTCAGGTTCTTCTCTTGCAAACAAACGACTAGCAGTGACTGGCATCTCTCTCAACTCCCTAAATGCAATCCAATTCTATGACATATATAATAAAGTTTTCCTTTCTGAGGGGAAAGTGCCCAAATGCTCTTTTGAAACCCGCTTGGTCTGGCCACCAAACACAGGGAACTGGAATGACGACCACGACCAAGTGACCAAGACCGGAATCCGATCCGAAAGACATGCCAATGATTTGACCGAGAGCCCAAAGCAGGCCAGCTTTAAAGGCAACACGAGGCAACACGATGCAACGCTTAACAAAACAATGTCTAGAGTCTAGCAGTGAAATGTTCCCTCTCTCTCTCACTCTCTCGCTCTCCCTATCTCATCCTATCTCTCTCTCTCTCTCTCTGGACAAATGCCTGTATCATGATGCATCATGAGGATTACTAAAATTTCTATGAACAGAGGTGGTTCATTCTTGATATTTTTGTGGATAGGAGGAAAGCATGCCCTGGGACCTCCCAACTTCAAATGAATCAGGGTCAAAATTACCGGTTGAGGCTGCATTCATAGGTAAATTAGGGCGTCCGCTATCGTTTCTCGGGTTTCGGCACTTTGGACATGACATAAATATAGTCAGAGTGGTATTTGCAATGTGGACAGGTGGACACAAGCAGGATATAGCAGGAGCTTTGATCCTGAAACCATTTGAACCCACGAGTGGGTAGCAGCAGCAGACCACCAGTAGACCAGCAGCACTAATACACCAAGAGGGGCAGCAAGCCAGCAGCAGGAACACCGGCCAGCAGCAGCAAAGCAGCAAGCAGAAGCAAGCAGCAGCAGGCAGCCAGCAGCAGCAAAAGCAGCCAGCCAGCGCCAGCAAAAGCAGCCGCAGCAAGCCGCAGCAGGCCAGGTGTAATTACGTGCGGGGATCTTGTCATTTGGCTGAGAAAACGTACCTTTTGAGGCATTGTTGGGGTATCGTTCAAATCGCCCATACATGGAAGCAAAAACGGATCCGCACTCTTTCCCAAGCTCTTCCCATGATCAAGGTCAAGCCGAGTAGACCCCCACTGTGTAGACCAAAACGGCTCCAAGCTCTGACAACTCTCTCAGGATCTTCCAATACAAGTCTTAGAGGTATCGTTTTAGTGCATCCCCTATCGTTTTTCGATGAAAACACAAAAGACATCAAAAGACACTAACTGTGTGAAACACCCTAGTTAAACTATGACGATAATTTTGCTTCAATACGTTCAGCCAAGAAAATGAGCCAGTTGCTCTGCCAACTCGGGGACTGCAGCGGAAGATAAGGAAGCGTTCTCTCACACCACAGCATGTTGGCATCCATCAACAGTTGCATCGATCTCGGAGCGAGACCCTCTGGATGGGTGGCAAACATGAGTAGTGTTACGACACTCCAAGCATGTCCGACCTTCTCGCAGAGTTCGGAGACGTCGATGGCTGCAACGATTTTAACCTCAGGATCAATAGTCGTAGGCTTGTAGACATTGGAGTCTAAGATATCAATGAGAAGAACACAACCACTTGCGAATGCAAGCATTGGGACTGCATATGCTGCGTTGAAATCGGAAAAGTACTGTCGACCTATGATTCAACAAAACATGCCTTGCTTGGCCTCGAAGAATGACTCTACCTACTTGGAACCCAAATGGCGTACTGGTGTCACCAGGAATCATCCCAGAGTAATTATATGGATCAATTCAAACAGAACATGGATGAAAAGTCCGCGCCCGAAAATTTTCCCCGAGAGAGGATAAACACACATGCCCCCGTGGTCTGGTAGGTCTTTCAATGTCTTTCATCTTAACCAAACATACATCAATACACTGCACCCATTATACTGCATAGGATCTTTGAGAGATTCTGCGAAGTCAGAGACTGAACCCCAAACCTCATTCCGCTCCTCTGACCCCAAATCCCCCCGCCCACCCTTGGTGGCATTCCGTGCGTTCCGCCGCGCCGCCGCGCCTCCACCGGAAGCTTCGCCTGCGCCAGCGCGCAGCGCATGCCGCCCAGCCCAGCGAAGAGCTCCAAGACCCGGAGCTCGCTGCGACCTGTTGGGGGTGCGACCTGTTCGAACGTCGAACTCGGAACCGTCGACTTCGCTTTCTTCGGCAGGGAAGGTGAGGAAAGCGGAAGCGACCGAGCACGAATCACGAAGGGGAGTGCGCTGAGGGATGAGATGGAACGAGCGATGTTGGGGGATGTCGATTCAAAAGCCCTACAGGGACCCGAAAAAGAACCAAAGCCGCAGGAGGGCCATTTTGTTGGAAATACATTGATCAATGGCGTGGAGGGCGTGGTTCAGCAGGCAGTTGCAGTCGGCTTGGACAGGCCACAATGATGACTACTCCATCCATGAAGACCTCTGAGAAAGTTTGAAACTTCCAAACTAAACGTGCCGAAATGGCCATGGACTGTGTTTTTTTTCCGTTCGCAAAGGATGATGAAGGAAGTTGAAGAAAAAAAAAACAAAAAATGTATATCTATAATATTTGATGTTACAGTAATATATACAGACTTGACTTAGATGTTGAAAGTAGTTCCAATTTCACAACACCCCCGCAACAGCCTTCCGTCATGACGAAGCCGCCAGCGGCGCCCGAAAAACAGGCTCCATGGCTTCATTCGGAAATTGTGACGTCTCGGGCGGACGACTGCACCGTTGGTTCAGTTGTGTCGTTGTTCCACGATTCACAGGGCAATGAAGGACATGGTGATGACTTCTTCATACTTTGTTCGTCGTCAGTGGGGGAACGAGGGATTTTTGTCTCACAACGAGGATAGGGAGGAGGTCTACTCATGATGACTCATGTTCCTCTCTGGCAAGGCCCGCACGCATCTCCAGCTTGAGCTTAACATAGCTTAACTATTTATCATGGGCCGTGGTTTGAGGGGACCCCCTCTCAAGGCCCCCCTGGAATAATTTTAGAATTATTCTGACCCCTAGTCACATTGATGCTGGAAATTATTATGGTATGTCATTCACATTCAGGAATAATTTCTAAACATCTGGATGCAAAACCATGTCATAGACAAGAGTTGTGCTTTGCAAACACTCAACTTGTTTCATCCCTGTCGCAACGCCGCTCAAATCATTCGGTGTGAAACCCTAAATACCCTCGGAGAGGCAATACGCCTACATGCGTGTACATCTTGGAATATTATTCCAAAAATTATTCCCAGGTAGTACCTTGAACCACTACCTAGCTAAAATATTATTCCAAAAATGGACCCCTGGAATACTTTTTTAAGCTACCCCCTATTATTTATCAACATGCTTAAGCTGCTTAACCCCATCTTCGCCATGAAACCTTTCAAGCCTGCTGACTGAACCTGGTTGCGACCAAACGATTTGTGCATGTATTTGGGCGCGCCCGAATGAAACAGTGGTGCCACCATCGTAGTTTCTTCACGGATCTAGAGTGACTTGTGCGCTGGGGTCAGGGACCCTCAATCCTCAAACACAGTGCTCTTGATATTCCAGTGTCCATCAGCAGGCCTGGCATTTCTAGTAGTAGCAAGAAGCTACTGATAGCTCCTGGCATTACTACTAGACCTAACTAGGAAGAAGCTACTAGTAACAAGGGCATCGCTACTAGGAGCATTTGTTCACACCGGGTACCCATCAGCAGTCAAAGCAGCTCTTTTTGCTCGCTCGCAATGTCCGCATTTCGGTTCTTCATTGCAACCTGACGGACCTGCGAGCGAAACAAAACAGGCCAGTAAACCAGTAAACCAATTTTTGTTGCAACTTGCGCCCCCCAAAAAAAGAAGCAACCAGGGGCTTCAAGTGCCACAACCGCTTCCCACTTGACCATCTATTCTGGTCGGCCCTTGATGTTCGACGTTCAACGGGTCCCCAGGACGGCGCCTGCTGATCCTCAAGATGCCAACTCTCTTCGCAGATCGAGCTTAAGAACTCCTGCAACCCGAACACATGCGTGGTGCGAGGACCTTCTGCCTAGGACCCAAACACAAACCTCTGCTCATTGAGGAAACGGCTGGCTTCGATCATGAAGACTTCGTCAAGGGTGGGTGAATGATCACAAGATGGAGCATCTCCAATGTTTGGACTATCCCAAAGCACAAGCAACATCAAACAACATCAACCTAGCATGATTTGGATGTCCCACATCTGGTTTGAGATGGTTTGAGTGTATCGCTCATCATCCCATAGTCATTGGAGTTCCACCAGATTGGTGAATGAGCCTCCAAGCAGCTGCGACTCCGCAGTACGTGGCTTAAAATTGCTTCAAAGCATCCAAGCAGCGAACCAAAACTGACATCAAACAATGCACCTGCGCCCCCTTTTTGCGCCAAGAGAGACTTGGGATGGACCTTTAGCTTTGAGAACTCCTCATGGGGTCACCCTTTTGATCAACGGCTGATCTGACCGCTTTACGTTCATTCTCAGGTCAGCCTCTCCATCACATTCACAGGGCTTTTCCTCCCTGGAGAAACCCATCAAGTTGGAGGCCATAGCTAGGAGGTTGGAGGCCCTCGCTATTAGGTTGGAGGCCAGGCCATTGCTATTAAGTTGGAGGCCATCGCTATGAGGTTGGAGGCCATT